GAATTATAAGGGGAAATATCAACACTAAGGAGATATGAGACTCCTTCTTGCTAGAAAAATGAAAAGAATGGCAGGTTTCTATATGGAAAAGAGCTTTTTTCTTTGGAAGAAAATAACAAAGCACTCACTTGTACTTATTTCCATGTAAATTTGAAAATGCATCTTACTATATGCTAGCACCAAGGGATGCAGACTTGCATTGATTTCCCCCACCCCGGCTGATAGAATACTATTGCTATTTATTCTTTATATAATGCTATCTAAGTAAGTGGAGGCATTCTTCATTAGGAATTTTTCAAGTTGAGGCTGAAACACATCCAGAGGGCGCTAGATTGATTTTATTAATCTTCTCAAGCATTCTTTGTCTTTGGTAGCCAAAACTCAGAAGGTGTCTGTAACAGCCTTCCAGATGAACACATTGTATGAAGGCATTCTGTAATCTTTCAGAAACTACATGTCACATCAGATGCATGCAGTGACTAAAGTGATGTAGAATTTAAATTGGAATGAAGCAAGGGGAAAGAGGGGGGATCCCAGTGGGGTTATGAAGATGCAATTTGATTGCAAAATACCCATTATGTTTGTTGAGATCTTCTAAGACAGCCTGAAATATTTCAATACACATGAATCCAGAACTCTCTTGCCCCATTGCATTGGTAGACTTCCTTTTTTCCAAGGGAAAAGTATGTATAATAGAGTATCCAAGTCAGTTTCAATAATAAGTAACTTGAAAGAAAAAAAGGGGGGTGAAAAATACCTTAAATGCCTATTGGAGGGGGAAAGGGCACTTCCATGGGAAATGGAGAAGGGATGCAGAAATGGGGCCGAGAAAGAGACCAAAAGAAAAAGGAAAAAAAAAAGAATTTGAAGTCAGAAGATGGGCAAGTATGATTTCAAAATGTGTAAAACAAATGTCTCACAGAGTATCAGGAATTGAAGCACATTGGGATAGATTCCTCTTAAGATTGTGAATAGCTGCTCAAGTTCTCCAAATCTGAAAGTCCAGCCATTGGACTAATTCTTCTAAGCAGCAGTTAGAGGCATATTGAAATTGCTTCTCAAGTTTCATCCAAATTAAACTCAAGAAAAAGTTAATTTAGAAAGCAGCAAAGTTAATCTGGTAATGCAGAGGTGGGTTGCTCCCAGTTCAACCTGGTTCGGCCGAACCAGTAGTGATGGTGGTAGGCTCTGCCCATCCACCTGGATGCTTCTGCGCATGTGGAGAAGCATTCCACATGAGCAAGAGCACGAGCACGAGCATGAGCAAACCAGTAGGAAACCAGTTAGCAACCCACCACTGATGCAATGGTATTACAGTGATGATGCTTGTTTCTTTGTTTTTGGATCATTGTAATGACAAAAATTCATCTTCCTCTGTTTCTTGTTAGAAAAAGATTGTCCAAAAGATTGTCCAATGCACTTTATTTTCTTCAGACAAACTTCTATGTATCAAGGGATCAAGAACCATAGGGACGTTTCAAGAAGTCAATCTTAGACTGTGCTTAAGTACTGGATTGTGCAATTCAAAAGGCAGCTCTCTGTGGAGATTCTCAGTCATCCAGGTCATAGTTGTCTCAAATGTCCTTTTTTTTTTCCTTCAAAAGTTTTGAGGTTTTTTTCTTTGAGGAAGAAGAAGAAAACATTTTGCTTCTTGGATGAGAAATAGAATGTTTTCTTATTCCTCCTCTAGGAAAAAAACAGTCCAGTTGCCTTTTGAAGAAAAAAGCACCTTTGAGTCAAAAGGCAAGTATTTTTTACTTTAAAGATTAGAATGCAAATAAAGTGTTGTGATTTTAGTCATCTGCAGCCTATTTCCTTTTAGTATAGGCAGATGTGATCAATGGCTTACCAGGCATTAGTCTCAGAATAAAAACTGAAACCACCTTTTTCATGAATATCAAGAAAGCAAAGCTGAATTGGAGGAAAATGGCAGCATTTTCAAGCAAGAATAGAGGTGACTTCCAAGACATAACAAAGGGGATCTTTAAAACTATCTTGAGATAAAGGGTTAAAAAGATTGCAAATGAGAGCCTCTGTTTCTTGTAAATCAATATATTTTCAATAATTTTTGTAAAGAGCATCATTACCAAGTATTTTAACATCATCTTGTGTTAGTCCATTTCATATGGCCTGTAAGTTCAAACACAGTTTGAAGGTCCACCTCTATCTTGCTTTAACTGGTTGAAATTCTGTCTGAATCCATTTGTGATTACTTTTCTCCAGAAGTATCAAAATTTAGAAAATTTTGCTGGTATATTTTTTCCTCTTTCAATCTAGACTTCAATCTGAAGTCAAAGGGAAGTTTGGATATCTGGTGGAGGTTGAGGGATCCAGTAGAATGTAACATAAAATAATGCAGCATGAGCACAGACTGCAGAAAGAAGGAAATGGAAACACTTATTTTTCTCCATATCAAAGCCAATTACAATTGTTGATCAAGTAACAGCCAAGGTATGGTACTAAGTCCCAGTTTGTTTTAAAAAAAAAAACACTACTGAATGACAGAGAGGAGCATTCTGCAATNTAATACTGCCATTTTAATCTGTTCTTCACAGTTGCTTGTTGGAACACATCCCTGCCATTGTGGCAAAGTAGCCATTGAATAGCTCTGCTTATATTCTGAAAAGCCTAAAGCCTGGAGATATTGTAGCTACTTCATATTATTCCTTTTTTAGGCATTTAGGCCCAGGGGGTGCACATTAGATCAATGGTAGGAAAATACCTCTGTGCATTCATTAAATCCAGAAGATTTAATGAACCAGTCCTGGCATTGGGGATTTGCTAATACAGGCTCTGCTTGCAGGGCAATACATTTTAATTTTAGCAACAGGAGCAAAATAAGTTTAGTGTTCATAAAAGATTTACCAGCATCTGGCAGCACAAAACCAAGCTCACTTATACTCTGATTTTAATTGTTGGAAAAAATAAAAGCAGTTCATGAACTTGGCTGGATTTCCTTTGTAATTGTGACAGCAGTGGTTGTCTTATTTTGTAAAAGGGCTATGTTCACTATCATGAATAAGGACTGTTCATGTCACAGCATTGGTCTGCAGATTATTGGAAGTTCTCATTTGTCTTGTACAACAGCATCTTTGGATGCTCAAGTCTTCTTACTCTCTAACTTGCATGAGAATGATCTCTTATGAATTAAAATTTGGTTTCTCTTGTCTTTTCCCCAACCAAAGCATCCAAAATTTAAACAGAAATACAAAAACAGAATGAAATAATACGTCCTGATTGGAGTCAACCTTCGTAAAATGCATGCAAAAAAGAATCAAGTTAATCCAAAGATTGCTTGGCAGTGTGGTCTGATAATAATACAGCCAACAAATCATTAATAAGAAAAGATAATTAACCTATCTGTACTATAGAGCATGCGCCCACAGAATCTCTTGCTCTTGACATGTTACCTGCTAAATGCTAGCCATCAACGCTCCTAATATTACTGAGCAATTCATGTTGAAGAATTCTGCAGTGGAAAGAGTTGTATTGCCAAACATGGTTAGTCGTCATATTTGTGTACAAAATGAAGGACTTATGGAATGGCATTAGTATCACAATGTATTTATCTATCTGACATAATTAAATAAAAATTAGATCTCAAGGAAAAACTATTTGAATTTCTGAGGACAGACTGGACACATCAAAGCTGTGTGCTGCTCTTGTTGTTGAGTCAGACAATGTTTAGGAACTAAGGAAAGGGAAGGAAATAGAAGAACAGGCTGAATTAGATTTGCACTTTTACCCACGTATAAACTTCTTATTTTCCCTCGCACAGTATATTCTTGCAAAATCTGCAAATATATATGAAGACAAGCAATGTAGACAAGAGGAATCAAAATGGATTTGGGAAAGACGAGAGAGCAATGTAGTATCTTGTTGTGATTGGAGCATGAAGGCTAAGAACCATTCAAGTTGTCCCTAACTCTATTAATTGACTCAGAGCACCATCTGATGTGATGTGCTTTGTGTAAAATGTAGATGAATAAATGTTTAAACAAAGTTAAGAATAAATATATATATATGTTGCATTTGTGCTGACACAAAACACACACACACATGCACACACACACACACACACACACACACACACACACACACACACACAGATATATATATCTTTAAGTGTACTGGTGGCACAGTGGTTAGAATGCAGTATTGCAGGCAAACCCTGCCCACTGCCAGGAGTTCGATCCTGACTGGCTCAAGATTGACTCAGCCTTCCATCCTTCTGAAGTTGGTAAAATGAGGACCCAGATTGTTGGAGGCAATATGGTGACATTTGTAAACTGCTCAGGGAGTGTTCTAAAGCACTATGGAATAGCATATAAATCTTAAGCGCTATTGCTATTATTTTGCACAAGATAATTTTTTTATTGGGTTGAACCTGAATGAAATCTTAGAGATCTGTAATTGGAGTTCTCTCACAGGGTTCAAGCTTTGATTGAAGTATTGATCACAAATAATTTTCATTCATTTCCTCCAGTAGAATTTCCCCAAGTAGAATTTCCCCCACAAAATTTCTTGGATTTCGTGTAATTTAATTATTATACTGACTTAATAGCATTTTGCAGAAATATTAGATCCAGAACAATGTATAATTTGCTGGGAAGTAAGCTACTTAAAATGGTATTGAATGGGTTCGGTATTAGATATAGCTTCACTCTGAATATTTTGTAGGAATTATAATGTGCTCTGTTACTTCAAAGTAACTAGTCTTGTGTGAACATTTGGAAACATTATCCCATTATCACTTCTTTTCTGTCTTACAGTAATCCGGACACCAATTATCAAAAATCTACCCCCTCCTGTTAAGATTGATCCTGATGGTCCATGTCTTGGAGCAATGGAAGAGGTACAGCTTGAGGACAGCCAGAAGAATGAGATAGACATTTCTGACCTGGGATCTCGCAACTATGATGCAAGGACAGACTTTTACTGCCTAGTGACGGAAGATGATATATGAGGCTTGCTAAGATATTCCTGTGGAAATGATTTTTTTTTTGTAAGCATGGTATGCTTTGGACAACATGCTTAATTAATCTCTTTAATCCAGAAGTCCTACAGAACTCTGACCCGCTCATTCAACATGTCTTTTCCTAACTTAAAGGATAGGAGTAAAAGAAATGTTCAGATGACACAAAACAAAAGAGTAGCCAAGACTTCAGGAGACAGAAATAAAGCAGCTTAGGCTTGGCATCCTTCTGTTGGGCACATCATTAAACAGGGCAATTGTATAAAATGGCCTCTGAACCTCCTACATGATTCTATAAGCATTGGGGGGATGCAAGGTTTTTGAGAACATCTGTACTCAATAGTGCCATACATTCAGATGATTATCGTGTGTCAGATTGCAATGCTGGGATTTATCTAAGCAACAGGCTTGGCAAAGCTTTTCAGTTACTGCTAACATCTCCAGGCAGGTGTTGATATGTGAGAAGTGAACATTAATAGCTAAATGTTATTAGGGTAATTGGAATTATAAGGGGAAATATCAATACTAAGGAGATCTGAGACTCCTTCTTGCTAGAAAAATGAAAAGAATGGCAGGTTTCTATATGAAAAAACTTTTTTTTGGAAGAAAATAACAAAGCAAATTACAGTTGTTGATCAAGTAACAGCCAAGGTATGGTACTAAGTCCCAGTTTGTTTTAAAAAAAAAAACACTACTGAATGACAGAGAGGAGCATTCTGCAATATTGTTCAAGCAGCACATACCTGAACTCTATTAAGTTAAAATGTGTCCATAACATTCTTGAAAGTTGCATACTTTTTGGTACAATACTACATTTGGTTTTTGACCAAGAGCATGATTTCTTGATTGCATGCAATCAATACCTGCATGTTTTTTAATTCATTCTGAGGACTTTCATGTAGTATACAACGGATTACATAAACAAACACTTAGCATTAGTTGCTGCAACAAAAGCAGTCCAAAAGTTGGTACTGTTTTACAATAAAGCAAATTGTTAAATATATTAATAAATTATAATAAAATATAAAGTATTTTAATATATTGCTTTAAAATAAAAATCCAGAAAAGAATTATTTAAATATGTGAGACAAGAAATCAACCAAGAAGCATTTGGCTTGTTACGTGGCTTATGGTGACAGGAATACTGCCAAGAAAGTGGGTGAATTCTTCTGACTCGTCTTCATCAAAGGCTCTAAACCTAACATGCTAATCATGGCATAAATCAACCATCTCTGACATGGGAAGCAGCATAGAATTGTGACCAGAGCTATTACAGTGGACAAATAATTTGGAATGAGGTGTGCATACTGGTAATTAAATGGCAATGCCTAGAAAAGATGATTGAAAGACTGTTGTGGCCCAGCAGGAGCCATTGGAGCTGCCACCAGACTCCGACAGCGAGGGGCCCTGTGAGTCGGCTCTGGAGGATGTGGAGAACCCTGGACAGGGTTCCGACTCTGAGCAGGGCGTAGAGAGGCTGGTTGGCCACCAGGAGGCACCTGAGCCTTGGACCAGTGGGGAGGAGACAAGGAAGAGTGAGCTGAAAGCCAGTAGTGAGTTGTTCCTGGATGCACGGCATCGAAGAGCTGCTAGGCGTCAGGAACAATTACACAATTACAGGAGGTAATTGCACTCAGCTGGTGGTCATTAGGCTCCTCTCCAGACTATAAAAAGGCTACTTGTGAACACGCCCCTCTTTGCAGAAGGCAACACAGAATCGAATGTCGGAGAACTTTGTATGAGCTTGGCAGGCTGGATTGCTGCCAAGCCTTATCTGTGTTTATTGCTGCCCAAGCTTGTCTGTGCTGGGTTGCTGCCAAGGACCTGTTTGTCTGTTAATTAAATGCCGTAATTTATCTCTGGCTCGGAGTGTGCTTTGGTATGTAACGAAGGGGGTCAGAACAAAAGACAATCGTGCAAAAAGTCTAAAAAAGTTCAACAAAACAGTAATTCTGTTTTAGCCTTAGCATAATGTATTGCACATTGAGCAACATATTTCATGCAGATGGAGAGGTCTAATGCACATTCCCCAACCTTTCTGGGTTGGCAGATTTGTGTGGGAATGGAGGGGGGAAGAAGGGATGGTTTTGTGCCAGGGAGAAGTGTGAACATTGCTTAATTTGCATGAGCAGTGGGTGGACATGCCTGCAGCTCACCCAAGTGGGCTGCAAACATTGGTGCCCACTGCCCACGTAAGCAGGACTGCAAGTGCCCAGTGCCTGCTGCTCGTATGAGTCAGGCAGCACCTGTGCGCATACCAGCCCACTGCTCACACAGCCTGGATGCAAATAGGCCATGGCCTGGTTGTGCATTCTAATATTTAATTGTTGTCATTGCAATTGCATGCAGGTTGTTCTTGTGTTTTACAAAGATCTAGATTTTGAGTTCTGTGTTGTCAAACATGTTTTGCTCTCCCTTGAAACCTTCCCATAAAAGCACAAAGTGTAATTCTTTCTCCGCCAAGTGATGTTGTTGCATCACCTACATTTTTCTTCTTCTATAGATGCTGCCCTCATGGTTGCAAGGTTGCTCTTTTGCTGCTCCAGTAAACACAGGTGACACTTTATGACTTGGGTTGTGCCAGAATGGCTGCTAATGCTAAGCCCTCGTGGTTCATTGATTAAAATCTGAGTCTCGGCACAAAAGTAGAAATAATGCAAGGGGAGAGGGGTTGAATGGCACAAGAGGGGAGGCTATCACATTCCAAAAAGAAGGAGCTGCCTTTGCTTTCAATCAATACTGAGAGTGTTTTTTTCAAACTGCTAAACTACTAGAGAACAAAAATAAATAAATTTCCTTTAGGCAGTGTTTATTGTACTGTAATTCCTGCCTACTGCATTCTTCTTTAATTACTTCAATATTTATATGCAGGGAGAATGTTTTCTCAAAAAGCCGTTCAACTTTTGGTGATAAGATTGTGTACTTTGATCCAAAGCTGAACAGGCTGGACTCAGTCTGGCTTTGCTTAAAGATACAGTCTACTGTCGAGTGAATTGTAATACCAGATGCAATTAGGCAAAAATGAAAAACTATAAATGCTTAAGAAAATATTTGCTTTGCAAAGCATCTTGGCAAAACATGAGCTCCTCCCTTCTATTGTAGAGTTAAAACGTTTTCCTAGTTTATCCAAAACCGAACGAGATAAAATAGACCTTGACACTGTCAAGAATGACATTTTTCTTTCCTATCCTGTGCTACGTGGACAAATCTGGACTGTGTCCTTACCAGTTTTATTATAGCAATGTTTCCCTTAAAAAATTCTAGGAATGATAATTGGGTGGCAGTGCTGGAAATTCTTGCTAGAGCTGTGGAACAGGAGAATTGTACAATCAACTTATTAAGTTAATAATACCAATCACATAAAAAGGAAGTGACACCAGTGACAGGTCATTTTTTATGTTTCTTGGTAACAAATGAGTCTGTTGGGGATGGGTAGCCAGGAAACACCCAATCTGGAGAGCAGACTTTGCTCTAATTATCCAGGTGGTAGGAGGGCAAAGGCCTCTGGGGAGGGAAGAGTTTTGAAGGCAAGCAGACTTCCTATTATTTGCATCAGTTGTTGGTTACATGCTGTAAGAGACAGAATTTTAGCAGGTTCAATTTGTCCTGCAGGCATGAAGAAAAGGGTACAATTAAAAGATTATCTATCCTTTGTTAAAACTACAAGAGCCCTGACTTTCCTCTACAGCAGATCATTTTCAGAGTTAATCAGCTCAAAGCAGGATTTCCTAATCCTGGCAATTTTAAGATATATAGACATCAACCCCCAGAATTCACTTGCTGTCTGGGGAATTTTGGGAGTTGAAGTTCATATGTCTTAAAGTTGCCAAGATTGGGAAATCTTGCTCCAGAAGGCTCTACTGAAACCCACCCAGAGCTATTCTCTCTCATTCACTTGGATTTAACTTTTCACGTGCTTCTTCTACAATGGCTCAGGCTTTCCTACAGCACAGAGAAAGAAAGATTAAGATACAGTACTGTCATTTGCAGTTTATAGACTGATTCAAGGACATCTTATTTGTTGAGACCAAGAACAAATAAACCACATTATATCCTAACATGTTATGCAAACTTGGCCATCCCATTAGGCTGTTAGGATTTGGTTGGGTGAACACAGCCAAGGTAACGTGTTATTGTAACTATATCTGGTGTGTAAAAGGTTGAAATTATGTTTCAAGGATTACACAATGGTCCACTTTTCTCCTTCGTTTAGGTTTGAGCAACTGATTTCATGGTCAAGGCAACGTATCCCACATTGCTCTGATGGAGAATCGACAGGCCTGCTAGGAAAAGCAAGAGATGGGCTCTTAAAAAGATGACCTCGGTGATGGAAGTAGGTTAGCCAATTAGCAGTAATTTTATCTAGCTGCTCAACATGTTAAGCTCTAATCATTACAATGATCAGGTTGGATTATTACATCTTATCTCTTGAAGACAATGGGAGGGAAATTAGTCCAATTTTCAAACATTGGTCTCAAGCATCCTGCCTGAAATTGAGCACATTGGTACCAGAAAGATACAACCATAAGCACCTCTGTCCTTGCCTGAAAGTAGATGTTTTCTCAGGATGATATCCATGCCTTCTAGTATTCAATTACTAAAGCATCACATAGTAAACACTCTACTCTCCCATGACCTCCACATAATTCAAATGTCATTGATTTTTTGTAGGTAGTTTATTTGTTCAGCACTATTGCCTGCCGGGAGAGACGACTTCACAATTATTTTACTCATATAGACTTTCCCCCCTGCTCACTGGACATGTCTGCTTGTAGAAGCTCATTCATTAGACTGACTTTGTGGGAGGAGGTTTCTTCTGGCATGCTTGCCTGTTGGGCATTTCACAGGTGAAGCTTAGGCGTTGAGTGAATGTGCCACCTTAAAGAAGCAAATACTTAACAGAGCAAGAGATCAGTTACGAAAAATAATCACATTTCTTTCAGATGAATAGTGCCCAGTATACAGACCTGCTTTCTCTATGACCCTGGGTTAATTTTCCAACCCACGCCCACCTTGTCTGGTCGCTAGAAAGTTTGAGAACAAAATGTTCTATGTGCAGAATACATAGCTAGCCTTGTGGGCAACTGCAGGCAGACCCCAGTCCAAATGAAGGGGGAGACTGGGAACTATGGGAATGAAAAAGAAATGTCCCATTGAGGAAAATGCTACTGTATTGGAGGCTTTACCTGATAGATCCATAGCGTTGAATAATGGAAATCAAAATGCTGATGAAAAAATAATGAAGTAACTAAATAAAGCCAAAAATTGGGAAGCAAAAAAACAAACAAACCCCCAAACCCACCCCATTTTAAACTGGCCACTTGGAATGTTGAAGCTGGTTTCTAGATCAGACCTAGTGAAATGATCATTCATGAATTATTTTGGTATGGAATTTCAATTCTGGCATTATCAGAATGGCATCTTACTGGATCTGGAATACAAGACAGTGACAATGTCTTTGCTATTATTGTGGAGACAAGAAACACCCAGAGCATATTGGCTTCATTTCCGTAGCATCTGAAACTATTGCAAGCTTTATCAGCTTCAAGTCAATTAGTAGAACTGTCACTTTTAGGAACAATGAGAATGTGTTTAATTATGCTTCCCAGAAGGAGGAATGAGGCAAAAGATTTATTCTATACAGAGTTGTAAACAACTGTGGATTCATTGCACAGAGGTAATAAATCCTGAACATTGGTGACTTTAACGCTCATGTTGGTAACAACTAGGAAGGCTAGGAAAATGTCTTGGGCAAATTTGGTATTGGAGAGATAATTGACAATGGCCTGTGCCTCTTATCATTTATAGAAGTAAATGAGCTAATGATTGGAAACATCCAATCAGCACCATTTAAAACCTCGGTTAAAATGGCCTTCACCCAGTAGAAACAATACATCAGTACTCAACTATTTCTAAATTTCTAAAGCTGTTTCCAAACATCACTCATGGACATCTGGTCAACAAGAGGCATCTACCACATTCTACTGCAGTCCTATTATTTTGATTAATATAAACTGCTCATAATGTAGCCACACCAATTGTTATGGAAGAGTGAAATTACAAGAACTTACTTGCCAACAAGGATTCCACCTAATTTGTGTCACCATTTTTCATGTGGATGATGAAAATGATTGAGGTGCAATTGTCAGAAATAATTAACAAGCATGCCCACAAAATCTATCCCATTGGAAGACACTGAATCCAACCATAGATTTTGGATGAATGAAAACTCTGCAAACTCTGCAAACTCTGAAGATTTAACTCTGTGCTGATCACTTAATTAGCAAATTGACACCTGCTTCAAAACAAAATGAACTGTCCGTTCAAATTGTATTGCAAAAGAACTTGAAGAACTTATATATTGCTGAGAACATCACAACCTCTGCACTTATTATGTTGCCTCAGCAGTAAATTTCAACATGAATGATGCCAGAAAAGCAGACAGATTTGCGAGCTCCAGAATTGAGTGACTGAATCATTTATATAGTACTTCCAGATTCTTTACAACTGCCCTGTTCTGAGGCATTCCAGTAGAGCCACCAATTCTTGACAGCTCAGATGGAACAATTGAATAATGCAACTCCAGAATCTCTGAAGCTACCATCCATCAGTTAAAAAGAGGGAAAGCTAGTGACACAGATAAAGTCACTGCAGAAGCAATAAACACTGCTTGTGATACACTAATCTGTCAGCTCCATTTATTCCTTCAAATTATGTGAGAGTTTGAGGAAATACTTCATTTGTGGAAACAGGCAATATTTCCAATTTTCAAGAAAGGCAATCAGGAGTACAAGAATTGATGTGGGATTAGTTAGTTGTCGGTCAAGGTATTTATCAAAGGCTTCAGAAAAGATGGAAACAAATAGCCCAAGAACAGGAGTCTAATTTCAGGCTTGGAAGAGGATGCTGTGACCAAATATTTGTATTATGACAACTGCCTGATGAATGCATCAACTGTGGAAAGAGGCTTTTTTTTTTGCTGTTTATTGATTTTGCAGTGGTGTCTATTCAGGCAGTGTTACAGAAGGCTAAGGTGAGCCTGCTACAGCAGATACATGAGGAATCATGAAGTTTTGTGTCAATGGAGAAACATCCAGAACCTTCCAGCATGTAATAGCAATAGCACTTAGACTTATATACTGTTTCATAGTGCTTTACTGCCCTCTCAAAGCAGTTTAAAGAATCAGCATATTTTTCCCAACAATCTGGGTCATTTTACCAACCTTAGATTGATGGAAGGCTGAGTCACCCTTGAGCTGGTGAGAATAAAACTGCTGGCAGTCAGCAGAATTAGCCTGCAATACTGCATTCTAACCATTGCACCACCATGGCTCCTAGTAGTGTATTTCCCTTTCTTCAACCTTGTGATTTTTGCAGAAAATAAGGAAGATATTTGCTAGCATTTGGTCATATTCAGAGATGAATTAATCATAGATCTATGATGTTTGCTAATAAGCATATGCTTTTTGTTTCTGGTGGTTTTCATTAAGGCTGGGCAGGGATTTTAATTTGGATATCTGATTCTCTTGTGGAAAAATCCTTAAAGCCGCATTTCTTCCTCGTGCTCATGTGTACCACCAGGAAAAGATGTTTGATTTACTGCCAACTGGTGCAACATATGTGCTGCAAATCACCTTTTTCTCTTTCAATCCAAGTTGCTGCACAGATCTAATTTTCATATCTTTCCTATTGATAAGTGCCTATTGTAATACTTACCCTAGGACTCTTATCTCCTTCAGTCAGCCTTACTATCCCTGGCATTTTGTGATTCAAATAAATAATTGGATTATAAGAGGAAAAACTTAAATTCAAGTATGCTGACACATTCATTGAGGGACAAGAACTGCCTTCCCTAAGAGCTTTGTGCCATTATTTATTTTGTAATTTCTATGGAGGAAAAGCAGGTCAGCACTTTCATTACATATGCCAGACTATAGTATTGTATGAAGCCACAAAAGTAGAGAGTGACATTTCTGAAGTATTTGACACCTGGGTGATTTTTTTTAACACCCCCTCCCTTTCCTGCACCATATCACTGAGCACCAAACAGCAAATCAGCATACCGGCAACAGCAACTTGAGTCCACATTCACCACCAACCCTCCATATAGAATCTGCATCCCTAAGTCACCAGACAATGCACCCCCTTATTGACTGCACCCAGGGCAGACTGCCCCACCAAACCATCTTCACCAGGCTACTGAAACTATCTAGTTGCTAGGATGCCCTCTTCTGTCAGTGTCACCATGCATCAGGCGAGGACTGAGTATTCAACAGAATCTTTCATTTAGCAGGATGAGGATCAATGCCATGGGACACGAAAAGTGCTAATAAATGTAGTGTAGAAATGTTCTTTAGCCCAACGAAGTGCACTGCAAATACATGTTGATCTGAAGTTTATGAGTTTATTGCTGCTAAAACAGTTCAGTGGGACAGTCTCAGGCACTTTAATTTCACCAAGGCAATGCTATTCGAATAGAGGTAAAAGTAAAATTCTGTACAAATCACAGGGAGACTGATACCCAGCTTAAGTAGTTCCTTAGAGCAAGCGCTTCCTTTCCATAATTTCTTTCCCCATTTATAGGTTTTGTAACCCACAAGACCTGAAGTAGATTATGCTGTATTTAATAGCTCCAGAAAATTATGTCTTCAGACTCATTACTGCTTTCAAATAAAAATGAGAAAATCCATCACCAAACTCCACCATAAATTTATACTCCAAAGCACTCTTTCCTCTTGTGCATTGGTTAATACAACTTTAAAAGCCTACATTTATTCCTCGGTTCCCAATAATTAGACTTTCCTAAAATCTTACAAATAGGTTTATACATACGGTTAAAATATATATCTCAAACTCATATAAGCCAGTCCTTTTGAAATTAAATGCAAGCAAATTATTTCCAGAATATACAGAGGTAGGAAAAATATACGCAATAGCCAGTGAAAGTTTTAGGGGAGTTCCGGGGAGTGGGGGATAAAAGAAAGCAATAAAAATGAAAGCAAATAGAAGCACCCTTGATACAATGACCCCGGGTAGAACTTCTCCACTATCCTTAGCAGCCTGGAATTTCTGCTGTGACATCAACATCCATACATTCTAAAAAGAATCCCAGCTCTATGGGAAGTCAGGACGTGGCTTTGGCAATGTTGATAGGAGGCTTCAGAATTTGCATGGACATCGATCTGCATTTTCAGTCATGGGATACTTTCATGGTGTAAGATGGCCAAGGCAGAGTAATCTGAGCTTTATGTAGACTTTTAAATGCAAAAAATAAAACTGTTAAGACATCGGTTCTTTAAAAAGGAGGGGATTGCAAAAAGGGGTTTCAATGATGTAGGGTCACAGTCCTTAGTGGTGCTTTATTAACAAGATTCATGGAGAACAGTTGGGGCTGGAGAGTCCATTTTCTGTAGGTCCTTTTCTTTACAGGCTAAGGAAATGTTCTTTCCGAAAGCCCTTCTGTAAAACATAAAAAAAAGACTGTCACAAGCACAAATCAGGTCGGTGATGATCCATCAAATGCTAACCTATCTAAGCCCCACAGACACCAAGGGTATCACCTATGGGTTCTATGCTAGAGACCTAGGTGGTATGAGCTCACTCTGGAAGAGAGAATAGAGAGAGAGGGAAAAAAAACACAAACCGCTTTATAGTCCCGATGGAGCTTGTTGTATTGCCACATGTTAGATAAGAGGCTGGAAGCAGCTCTGGAGGCTTTTTCATTGTCCAAGCTAGAGAAAGAAGAGAAATCTGTTAACATTTTACTAGTGCTCACTGGGATTCAAACATATCCATTCCTTCTCCATGAAATACTAATGGATGTTAAGTTGAGATATTCACGTTCATCTGTGCTGGACTCTTATCCTCCCATTACCTGGATTATGTCCCTTTGATCTCCAATATTTATTCAGCAGCATCCCTATAGGAACAGATCTACACTTCTGCAAAGCCAGGGAAACTGCTCCTACTTTTAAGAGGATTTGAGGCTGAAAGAGAGATAGAGGCAGCCAAAGCTTTCTGTGTTCCTGTAATGCAATACTGAGTGGCCTTAGTTGCACACTCAGAAATGCCAACTGTTCTTCTAGGATGGCCTGTCTACATAGGGTTTTTGGTCTTCTGTAGGTGCCCATTCAGCAAGAGCCCTTTGGAGAGGGGCATTTTCAAAATGAGTGTTTCAGATTTTTCACCCACCAGGCTTTTAAGGTAAGGCCTGTGAGATAAATGGCATGGATCAGTTTGGATTTCATAGTAGGAAACAAAGGAGCTAACAAAGTCAGATTAGGGTGAAAAAAACTCTCAAGTGTTGGAAATAAATCAGTTAGATCAGCAGTCATCAACTGGTGGTCCACAGAAAAATTACTTGCATTTTTTATACTGCACTAAATCAGGGGTCCTTAAACTATGGCCCCTGGCCCAGATACGTGCAATGAACAGTTGTGTTGCTGCAGAGAGTCTCCCCCTTCGGGGATTTTTTGTGTGGGTCTGAGAGGGGCAGAAATTCTGACTTGGGGTCTGCTTCAGCCTCCTGGTGTGGGGCTTTGGGCGAAGGCTGGAGGGAAGCACCACTGGTGGCAAAGAGCTGGAGGACCTTGGTCCAGTGGGACTGCACTATGGCCTAGAACTGGCTGATCATCTCAGCCCTCTGAACCTCCAGAAGCTGGTACCTGGCCTTGCATTCCTGCAGGTCTTTCCTCTGCTTGGAAAGCCTATGTTCATAGTCTTCAGTGAGGTGCTTCTGCTAAGCCTCCTTCTCGGTCAGATCCAATTTGAACTGAGCCAGCTGTTTTGCCACCTCTTTCTCATGGAGGCTACTTAGCTCTAACAATTGCTTCCTATTGGGGCCCTAAGGATCCTAGATAGGCAGGTGAGGAGTGCTGAGAGGGGAGGGGTGAGTAGAGGCCAGCGATGCGCCCCTCCACATGGGAGACATCAAGTTGGCCATGCCCACCCAGTCACATGACCCCCTAGCCACACCTAGCCACCCCCTAGCCGATCATTAGGCAGATCATATTAGTGGTCCGCGGGATTTAAAATTATGAATTTAGTGGTTCCTGAAGTCAAAAAGGTTGGGGACCCCTGATTTAGATGGACTGTTTACTAAAAGTAAACTGAAAATCTTTTGAGGTCTGACAGGCTTGTTTTCTTGCCCATTTTCTTCCTTCCTCCAGCCCTTGATTTATGTATGGGAACTTGCCTTTTGCAAGGGACTGCACCTTTTGAGGATTGTGTGTATGTGCCCTCGGGTGAGTGCTGACTCCAGGTGTTTGTCTGGACAAGTCTCTGCAGTTTTCTTTGCAAGATCAGAGTTTTTAGGCTTCCCATTGCCTGCTTCCTAGGGCTGAGAGAGAATGACTGGCCCAAGGTCATCAGGTTGACTTTCTACCTAAAGAGGGACCAGAACTCTTGATGTCTTAACTCCCATACCAAATTGGTTCTACTTCTGAACGTTAAGTGAATCTAGTAAACATCCCACTCTTGTGATGCTGAAACAAGGGGCATAAGGAAGTTTTCTGCAGCAGAGTCCAGAAATTAAGTAAAATGCTGCTCTAAGGATGAAGTCTGTATGGAGTATGGATGGAAACTGCTGGCCATTCCTGCATACCTGTCCCTTTTTCTCTTGATGTAGAAGAGTTTGCGCAGGCCATCAAAGTAGACAATGTCACGTGCAGCAATGGAGCTCTCCACAACCAAGTTGTTCAGTACTGCAATGATGTTGATGACTACCTCTATTGGGGGCCACTTATCTCCAGAGCTTCCAGGAAGTTTCTCAATCAAATGACTCACCACTTTGGTTGCTGCCAATCCAAAACAAAAATGGTTAGCAAATAGTATATAGACAAAATGTACTTTGTCTAAAATCTCACTGTGGACGATACAAGTAAAGCATTTAAATGGCATGAAGGGAACTCTTTTTGTCAAGGCCCTGCTGTGTTTTCCTACAGGAATAACTCACACATTTCATCCTTGTTGCGTGCGTTCCGGGACAGGTTGCGAATCAATCCCGTCAGAGAACGAAGCTGGTGATGGTCAGCTGTGCGGACTCTGTCCAGTACAGGGTTCAGGATCCTCTCTTGCTCCAAAGCCACCCTACTGAGGACACCTGCCCACTACAGTGGACAAAAAGAAGAATGAGTTAGCAAATGATGATTCACCTGCCGAGTCAATTCTAAT